TAGCATCCATATGCTGGAAAGCAAATTTCAGAGACTCTTCTGACATCCATTTTTGTTTCTTTCTTTCCTGCCTTTTTAATGACCTATATAGCGTAGTGGTTATGAATCGGGCTGCAAACTGCAAAGTCAGCAGTTCGAAACTACCAGCTGTTCTGCAGGAGAAAGATGAGGCTTTCTGCTCCCGTAAAGATTTACAGCCTCAGAAACCCTGTACAGGGTCACTATGAGTCGGCACCAACTCCACAGCACATAACAACAACAGCATAATGTTCTTGATATCATCCAGTCATTAGTCTTATTAATTCGTAATTATAGTGCATATATGTGTGTATACATGTGTGTATGTATGTGTATATATATATGTGTGTATATATATATATGGAGTCCTGGTTTGGAACTGTGGGCTTATGCTCTGGACTGCAAAGTTGGTTTGAACTGCAAGGTCAGCAGTTCAAGCTCACCAGTTGGTCTCTGGAAACTCTACACAGGGTCTCTGTGGGTCAGAACTGACTCAACAGCACTTAACAACAGCAATATATGTGTATAACTCATTTTTGGGGTGACTGCCCGTTGGTTTCCCTTTTTAAAAATGAGTTTTAATTTACACTTATTGGCAAAATGTGGACTCTTTTTACCTGTCATTTAATCTAAACTGGTCATTTGTCCCAAGGTAGCATATCATACATGAAATCTCCTTTTTTTCAAGTCAAATATTTTGAAACATGATACTCAGAGTGTGATTTCCTAAAGATATATATTAAAGTTTTCTTGTGTTTTTAATGTTATTGTTGTTGTTAAGTGCCATCTAGTTGGTTCCGACTCATAGGCTATAAATCTTTGCTGAAACATCATATCTCATCTTTCTCCCACATTTTAAATATAGTATGCTTTATTGATTTAGAATACCACATAGCTTTATTTTTAAGCACTCGACCTTAAGGTTAGTTTGAACAGCAAGATCAGTAGTTCAAACTCACCAGCCACTCATTGGAAACCTTGGAAACCGGGTTGCTATGAGTCAGAACCAACTTGATGGCACTTGGCCAAGTAATATAGAGGGATTTATTGATTTATTGACGCACAGACACAGTTTTCAGTCTTGGAAGAATCCTGTTGTTATGCTTACATTACTAGTTAAAGTGGCCTTTTAATTATTTCCCATTTCTGTATAGGAGAAATATTAAATTGACTGGCCATTTTGTTTTAGCTACTAGCCTTTACAAACTCTAAAGTTCCTCAGGCTCAGAATTGTGTGTTCTTATACATTTTCAAGTCCTTATAGTCTGGAGGAATAAATTGGACTGCCTTAAGGGTTAGTGGGTAGGAGTCCTGGTGTGATGCTGTGGGTTAATGCCGCCAGACTGCAAAGCTGTTTGAACTGCAAGGTTGGCAGTTCAAGCTCACCAGCTGTTCCTCGGAAACCCTATATAGGGTCGTTATGGGTTGGAACCGACTCGACAGCACTTCACAACAACAACAAATGTTTAGTGGCTAGCTAGCATATTTTTATGTGTGAACTCTGAGAATAAAGTTGAGAAGATTTAACTGTTGTGCACTGTTAAGAAATAATACAGAAACTGTATAGAATTACCTTAATGACACCGTTTTAAGATAGCAAAGCTAGCTAATTTTTAAGGCAAGTCTTCAGCTGAAATGTTCCTAAAAAGAAAGACATCATTTTGTCGGTTACCATAGAATGTGAGCGAACACTTGTGGTTTCGTGGTAAGTCTTTTCTTCCCTGATAGTTACCTCATTTTGTGCTTTTAGGATTCCCCCCGCACCAATTGGAATAGCTCAAGGTGGTGCTGTGGGTTAATGTGCTGGACTGCAAAGTTGGTTTGAACTGCAAGGTTGGCGGTTCAAGCTCACCAGCTGCTCCTCGGAAACCCTATACAGGGTTGCTATGGGTCAGAAGCAACTCAAAGGCACTTCACAACAACATACAAGTATTTTATGAATCCTGAAATTGTTTTATTCTAATATTTCTCTTTGGATTTTCATTTTAAACTTGCTCTTTTTTTTTTTTTTTTTGTATTTTCACTGTCATACAAGCCTTTATTAAGCAAAACCACTCTCCACACTTCTTACTTTATAAAACTTTTTGTTGTGAACTGAGTAAAGTTTTGTAGACAAGTGATCAGTTTTACATTCAACAAATCCTACACTTTGTTTCATCTCAATGACTGTAGTTCCCTCACAAAAATCTCATTTCCTCCCTGTGGTTCCTATATCCATTCCACCCACCTTCCCACTGAAATTACGTCACCCAATAAGGTGCTAGAATTCTTCCAGGGGGAGCAAACACCGCACAATGGTGACATAGCACACAGGCCCAACGTTTGGTCTGTGGATGCCAAACATGTTTTCTGCACTATATACAAGTTTAATGTTAACTTTAGGAAAATCTAGTGCTCTTCAGTCTGAACACAAACAACTACCAACACTTGGAATAACTCCCATATTGTCACGCTGCTACCTCATGAGCACAAAATGAAGAAATGAACAGTGGCAGGCATGATGATTTTCCCACAGTGCCCTAGTACAAGATGCGTACAGCACTACGCATGGTTTTCCTGTGCCTTGCCCCAAGGTAATCAGCTACCACTTCCATGCTCATCACTTGAAGAAGAGGATTTCCAGGGACCAGCAGCATCAAAGAAGAAAGATAGACCAAAGCATAACTGGTCGCAGAATCCTTCACGGTCTAAAATCATCATACAAGTTTCTGCTGGCCTTTCATTTTAAACGACCTTATAGTGTATGGAAAGCAATCAAGGAGCTCTGGAACCCTATTTACAAGAACCAGAGTCTGGCACACATTTCAAATTTGGACAGACTCCTAGAAGACAGTTATTTCCAAGCATGTTCTCTGTAAAAACTTTACTCCATAGTAGGGATGTATTCTCTCACCAGGACACACCAGGTAATGGGCCCACAGAGCCAGGGAGGACACCCAGAGAGCTGGAACTGGGTTAGTTTTCGGTTTTTAGATTAAGGCATACTCAAAAATGTTCATATACAAGTTTACACTGCTTTTCTAACTTAATCAGCAGGTAATTAATGCAGGTTCACAGATGAATTACTCTCAATTAACAATATGCAACAACCATGCCAATCACTTGTTCTTCTATATTTTGCACAACAATGGTTTTAAAAATGTGGTACACTTAAGTGTTCATAATTGTCAGTTTTCAAGGCAGTGGAAGACCAAGACATTTTCCAATTATATGAAATTTAAGATTTATAATAAGCCAGAGGAAGTAGGCTTTCCTCCCATTCCCCATCCCCACATCTCACCTCTGTCTTCAACAGTCCAAGGAAGACTGCCCTGGAAACATAGGCTCACACATTACATTCAGGACCGTGATAAATACCCTCGAAACATCAGCTCACACATTACATTCAGGACTGAGATAAATGCAGGCATTAGGAGAGAGCTTGAGCTATGCTTCTTGGTGAAGAAACCATACTAATTTCGTTGTAAACCGAATCTGACTTTCACTGCAGTTCCAATTCATGCTTTTAGTGATCCATAACATTTTCCAAAATATTCAAGTAATTTCAGTCAATTGAGCCTTCAATGGCAGTGGCTATGTGTATATATATAGTATGGTAAAGATAAGACAAGAGTTTGGGCTTTGATTCTAAAATGCAGCATCTTTCTCTGATTCTCTTGACTAAACTTTTCCTCATCTTTTTTCCATTTTTTTTTCTTGGCTGTCTATCATCTTTCTGGCTTGAATTTCCCTCATTAAGTCAAAAAATACCTTGTCAACATTAGCTCGTGTTTTAGCTGTTGTTTCCACATAGTTAACATTCCACTGATTGGCTCTGGATTTTGCCTCTTCTACAGAAACCTGCCTTTTATCTTCTAAATCTGACTTGTTATCAACCATAAAAATGGAACATTCTCATCTTTTAATCTTAAAATCTGTGACCCGAAGTCAACTGTTGCTGCAAAGGATTCCATTTCTGTAATAGAGAAGACACAGAGGAAACCCTCTCCACTTCTGAAGTATTTGTCTCTAATTGCAGCGTAGTCCTCTTGCCCAGCAGTATCTAAGGTATCAGTCTGAACTTCCTCCCCATCCAGCACAACCGTCTTCCAATAGCTGTCTGCTTTAATGGGCTCATTTGTTATTATTGTTAGGTGCCATGGAGTCGGTACTGACTCACAGCAACCTTATGCACAGCAGAACGAAACACTGCCCGATCCTGGGCCAACCTCACCACTGTTGCCACGCTTGAGTCCGTCAATGCTGCCACTTGGCAAATCCATCTCGTAGGGGGTCTTCCTCTTTTTCTCTGACCCTCCATCTTATCAAACATGATATCCTTCTGCAGCCACTGGTCCCTCCTGACAGTATGTCCAAAGTACGAGAGACGAAATTTGGCCATCTTGGCCTCCAAGGAGCACTCTGGCTACACTTCTTCCAAAACAGATCTGTTGGTTCTATGGACAGCCCATGGCACTTTCAATATTCTCCTCCAACATCATAACTCAAAAGTATCAAGTCTTCTATGGTCTTCCTTATTCACTGTCCAGCTTTCTCATGCATATGAGGTTATTGAAACTACTATGGCTTGGGTCAGGTGCACCTTAATCCTCAAGCTGACATCTTTGCTCTTCAACACTTTAAAAAGGTCTTGTGCAGCAGAGTAGTGTAATGCAATACATCATTTGATTTCTTGACTGCTGTTTCCGTGAGTGTTGATAGTCCTCCACAAACTCATCGTACATGAACTGCAGAGTCAGCGCGGACTTGCCTACACCACCACTGCTCACCATGATGACTTTGTGTAAGGCCAACGAATTCTGACCCTTGGGCTTATTTGCAGGCATCATTGTTGCAGAGTTTTCACTGAAAAATGAAGAATCTGCACTGTAAGCCGGTTCGCAGCCCCGCAGACTCCAGAAGCCACGGTTGCGCTCATTCAGGTCGGAGGGTGCTTAGCCTTTGTGCTAAAGAAGGTACTGGGCGTAGGGAAGCAACAGAGGATGAGTCGGGCAGAGCCTAGGCAACTGGTGGAGGAGGAGGTGGACTCCAAGCGCTCCATGCTCCCTGTCTCCATGTTTTGCCGCGTCTGTTCAACTTTCTTTCTTCCTACACATTCAGTCCACTTGTCTATGCCTTCATCTGAAGCCCAGGGTCCCAGGACTGCCATCTGCATCTGTTTCATTTGGTTATCTGTATCTCTGCTGTTATTGTTGTTGCTAAGGACCGATTAGTCGGTTCCAACCCACAGCGACCCTGCATAGGGTTTCTGAGGAGCGGCTGGTGAGCTTGAACCACCAACCTTGTGGTTTCACAAGGAGGAAGCGGGATAACTGTTGTTCCATGGTTGTTGTTGTTGTTATGTGCTGTGGAGTCGGTTCCAACTCATAGCGACCCTGTATAGGGTTTCCGAGGCTGTAAATCTTTACGGGAGCAGAAAGCCTCATCTTTCTCCCGCGGAGCAGCTGGTAGTTTCGAACTGCTGACCTTAAGGTTCACAGCCCGATTTGTAACCACTACACTACCAGAGCTCCTTGTTCCATGGAGGGGATTGCAATTGTTGAGATGAAACTAAGTGTATTATTTGTTGAATGTAAAACTGATGACCTTGTCTGTAATAAACCTTCACTCAGTGCACAACAAAAAGTTTAAAAAATAATAAAAAGAAGAGCTATGACAGAGGTCAAGGGTTGTTCCGCTGAAGACAGCAGTAGCTGGAAGAGGCCCTGTGGCAGAGCCGGCAGGAGAGGCCATGTAGCAGTCAGTAGGGATGGCAGAAACCCATTAGAACACAGCTCAGAAAGCTAAAGTGTTGTGTTGGTATGGGCTGGGTCAGTGAGCAGAGGAGAGAGGTAGGGTTGCTAAAGGTTGAGAGTCCTTTCCTCAGGGGGTGGAGAGGAGGCCTGTTCTGAGGGGGCAGAGAGAAACCTGTCCTCAGGACGCTAAGAGGAGGCCTATTCTCATGGGGCTTGAGAGGAGGGCCACGAGGCCTGTACTGGGTGGTGTTGGAGGAGAGGAGTCCTCTCCTGAGGGATATAAGAGGATGACTGAGAAGGGGGCACACACAGCAGAGAAGGAGGCTCTCCTGTTTGCATGGCCAAGAGGAGCTTAAAGTCCCATTCTGCAACCAAGAAGGGACAGATGTGCTCCCCCTCTTTGGGAAAACCTTCTAGACTTGGCGTGTATACTTCCTGTTCTTACTCCGGGCTTGTAACCTGTTGACCCTGTTCCCTAGCTTGCCTGATTACTTCTTTAAGAAACCGGTGAACTGTAAGTGTGATTTGCGAGTTCTATGTACTCGCTGAAGTGGATCATCAAACCCAGTAAAGAAGTAAAGAATGCTATGGGAAGGATGGCCAATGCCAGAATTGGTAAAAAGGTTGGAGAATGGAGGGATGTCTGCCCTCCACTCATGGGACTCAGCTTTGTGTACCAATCCTGATCATTACAAGGAGCAACTGGTGAGCTTGAACCACGAACCTTGCAATTCGAACCAACCATTCAGTCCAGTGTATTAACCCTCAGTGCTACTCATAGTGACCTTGTATTGGGCTTCTAAGGACTGGCTCGTGGGTTTGAACTCCCAACCTGTGGTTAGCGGTCCAGTGCTTATCCTACAGTGTCATACCCCACAATCAAACCTATATTACAGTTGTGGAAGCAGCAGACATTGTCTGCTAATCACTGTTTGTGTGACGTGCCGTCGAGTTACATAGCACCCCTGTATAGGCTTTCTGAGGAGCAGCTAGTGAGCTTGAACTGCCGACCTTGTTGTTCAAGCTGACTTTGCAGTCCAGTGCAGTAACCCACAGCACCACACCAGGACTCCTGCTAATCACTAGGCATCATCATAATAACAATAATAATGAACTTCTACACGAAATGATTGATATATGTCAGTATCAAAGTTTTTCCTTTATTGGCCTGTATTTACATGTAGCTCATTATGCATGTAGATCCATTTATAGATCTCATTTACAAATATTTGATCTATTTCATTTGTTATATTTCAAAGGATTAAATCATTTGGATGGTTAAAAAAAACCCCAACCCCTCATTTTCAGACTCCCAATGAATATAATAGACATATGAAATCCACTACAGCACAATGCACTAGACCACGAGGTCGGTTTGAGCAGCAAGGTGAGCGGTTCAAACCCATCAGCCACTCCTCAGAAACCCTAAACAGGGTCTCTGTGAGTCCTGCCAACTTGATGGCACTTAACAACAACAACAATGAATATCAGGAAAACCCTAAATTAGATGGGCTGACACAATGATGGCCGCAATGAACTCAAACACACCACGGATAATGAAGCTGGTGGGGGAGCTGGCCAGCCTCTGATTGTCCAGTTGTGCGTGGGGTCTCCATGAATCGGAGTCTACTTGAAGGAAGTAACAGCGGCGATCTGCTTGATTACTCAAATTCAAGTTAATTTTTTTGTTAATCTTGTTGTTATGTGCCGTGGAGTCAGTTCTGATTCATAGCGACCCTGTACAGGGTTTCCGAGGCTGTAAATCTTGACGGGAGCAGAAAGCCTCATCTTTCTCCCACGGAACAGCTGGTAGTTTCGAACTCCTGACCTTAAGGTTCGTAGCCCGATTCGTAACCACTACGCTACCAGAGCTCCTTAGATGCTCAAAACTGCTTTTCCTACCCTAGCGACAAAATTCATGGAACTAAAATGAGTCATCTTTAGCCTGATACTCAGCTGAGCCATATTTTTATTACTTGCTAAAGATTGGACTGAGAAATGTTTTGAAAATCTAGGAAGGATTTACATGGACTGGAATTACAAAAGGAAAGTAGGTCCACAGCTAAGACCAACTATAGGTGGTGGTGGTTATGTGCAGTGAGTCAGTTCTGACTCATAATGACCCTGCATAGGGTTTCCGAGGCTGTAAATCTTTATGGGAGCAAACGGCCTCATCTTTCTCCTGTGGAACAGCTGGTGGTTTTGAACTGCTGACCATGAGATGAGCAGCCTGACTCTTAATCACTACGCTACCAGAGCTCTTTGAACTATTAACTATTACTATTAACTTGAAATACTTCCAAAATAAACACAATATCCTCTTTCATGCTCTATCCTACATGTGAGTTTTTATGGAAGAGTAAACTTTGCTACATTCAGGGGAAGTATGTTACATTTATGGTTGTTGTTAAGTGCCATCAAGTAGATTCCGATCCATAGCGACCTTGGATGGGGTTTCTAAGGAGCAGCTGGTGAAGTTGATCCACCAACCTTGCAGTACAAACCGACTTTGCAGTACAGCGCATTAACTCACAGCATCACATTTATGTTAGAGAATGAAAATACTAATTGTTCCTAATTTTAATGTAGCCAAAAAAAAATTTCAGGCATTTACAAAAAAGTTATGACTTTCTCACGCTGAAGCATCCCAAGTTGGAATTAAAAAATGGTACAGCTCCCCTGGGGGGAGGAGGCAGGGGAGGATTTGGCAGTGCCTAGCAAAAGGAGCTCTGGTAGCGTAGTGGTTACAAATCAGGCTGCTAACCTTAGGGACAGCAGTTCGAAACTCCTAGCTGTTCCGTGGGAGAGAGTTGAGGCTTTCTCTTCCCGTAAAGATTCACAGCCTCGGCAGTCAGATCTGACTCCACAGCACATCACCACCACCACCAGTAAAATTAAGTATTCATTCATCCTGTGTTTCAGCAATCTCACGTCGAGTCTATGTAATGCATAGGATTTTCAACTTTGGCTTCTAATGTATTTTATCATAATAAATTACAAATAAAATCATGGCAGCTTACGATAGCTTTTCAGTGATTTTCTGTGTTTTCTAGGATAATGTGAAGTTGTATTTTGAGAAATAATATTTTAAAACATATAAATCTTATCCATGTAATTATTTTGTCAACTAAAAGGTTTTTTTTAAAGTCAAATAACTTTTTCTTCAGGCATCTCTGAGTGAATGATCAATTTATTGTTTGGTTTGTTTCCAGATAACCTTTTTCATGTTGCTTTCTGCTGTGTGTGTGATGCTGAATTTGGCTGGCTCCATCCTCTCCTGTCAGAATGCTCAGCTCGTCAGCTCCCTGGAAGAGTGTCAGTTGGTGAGTAATGCAAGCCAAATCTTGTGGTAAAGGCCAAGACTTTGATTTTGCATGAGAGCAATTTAAAAAAGAATTTATTGTATCCTTTAATCTTCTATAAGCTTTCCATGAATGTTTTCTAGTTGTCTGAAGGAATCCTGGTGTGATACTGTATTGTTTGAAGAATTAAGTTGACTCACTTTAAAAAAGTTCCCCAAATTAAAACTTGTTCTTTGGTAGAGAAATAAACTAGCTTTCAGGATGATGAAAATGTTTTAGAAATAGATATAAGTGCTGAATGCACAGCATTGTGATTGTACTGAATGCCACTGATTTATTCACTCTAAAGATAAAAAAATATTTCCCTTCCTTCTCCACACCCAATTATTCTACTTGTAAATAAATCAATTAATAGTAGTTAGGATGGTGTGGTGCTGTGGGTTCATGCCTTGGAATGCAAAGTCAGTTTGAACTGCAAGGTCCACAGTTCAAGCTTACCAGTCGCTCCTCGGAAACCCTATTGGAATACATGTCTTTGTGTCGAAGTCCTATGTCGGGGTCCAGCCTCGACAAGGGAGTGTGGGTGTCACGAAGAAGGGAGATCTGGCGGAGAAAGGGATAGAGAAAGAGAGAGATGAAATACATACAAAAAAGACAGGCACATACATATGATGCAAGCTGGCAGATAGACAGATCTGCAAACATTTTGCCTAGCATTGCACAGCATTGCACACAGATCTAAGAGACCTCAGTCTTTTATTCTCTTCTTTAGGGAGGGATTTGTTACAAAGAAAGGATGTAATTCACAAAGGGAGGATATAATTTACAAAGGGAGGATGTAATTCTTTAGCTAAGACAGGATAGGAACTGAAATGTGATTAATCATTCAAAACAGGATTTTCAGGAACAACTTTTAAAACATTTTCATAGTTTTAAACAATCTAACATTTTTTATTTTTACAGAAAAAGGGTTCAATCAAGCTGTTATGTATTAACTTTTAGGCTTAAATGATCTAGAGCAGCCATGTGTGGTTTCTCAAGGATACTTAACATAAAGCAAGGTTCCTGAAAGGAGCCAAGCTGTCTGTACATTTTGCAAACTTTTGTTTGTGAGCAAGATCTTAGGCACCGGGCTTCATTTATCTATACCTAAAATGCTACATTGTTCGTAATTATTATATTCCTATATACTTTCAGGAGGAAGGAGAGCATCTGGGTTAAACTGATTATATTCAGAGGTGGTTTAATGGGGCTGCCACTGATCAACCCAGGGTCTGCTTATGCTGTCCACAGCATCTTTGTAACATATTTTAGCATTTGCATTGACATTAAATTTCTTAAAATCAGTTTTGTATGTTGACTTTGAGTTCTAGTATAAATATAATCTTGGTAAGAAGAGCACAATATTATTTAATCAGACATGTATTAACAGAAGAAGAAAGCCAAAACAAATCATAAGCCGATGCTTGAAGAATACTGGTTTCACAATAAAAACCCTTGCAAAACAAGCAAACAAAATATATAGTTCTCAGTTAACATAAAAATTTCTATCAGACTCAGGAAAATGGTGTGTAGACATTGTTGAGGGTCAAGAAGTTGTTTATTGGATGGAACTCCCGCTCCATGATGACTTGGCTTGTGATATCGTGATGGGCATATCTGGCTGGAAAAAGAACTTAAACAGCCCGGCTGTATGCAAGTATGGGTAGGTAGCGTTTGACTCCCAATATGACCGGATGTTGGCTACAGTGGCCTTGGTTCTGTGTCTGTATCTCAGAGTCTAAGCAGAGGTAGCTTTTAGAGCCCTGCTCTTTGATTTTATGTTTTGGTTTTTTTCTTCTTTTTTTTTAAATAGCAGCAAAGATAATTACCTTTTATTTATTTAAGTTTTTATTGTGAATTGAGTGATAGTGTACATGGGAGAACATCGGTTTTACACTCATCATTTCATTGCAATGATTACTGTCTCCTCTGTGCATCATCATTAAATCATATTTGCTTCTATTCCCTCTTTTTTTTTTTTTTTTTTTTGCAGTGGTGGGGGGCGAGGGATGTACATAAAAGCACTCAGGAATATATAATCATTTACATCACCAAAGGGCACATTCTGCAAGCCTGCCTCCTGGCCACCAGCATACATTCTTTCTCTTTCCACGAGTCTAGAGTCCTCAGCTGCTCTCTCTCTCTCTCTCTCTCTCTCTCTCCCTCTCTCTGTGTCTGTCTCCATTTCTCATCTTTGCCTCAGCCTCTGGTTTCACTGCTTCTCTGGATAGGGTCCCACATTCCGCTTGTGCTCTTCTCCCATGATGGTCCTAAGGGTCCTCTGTTTCTGGACTGTAAGATTAATTACTCCTCCCTTTATGTTACAAACTTCTACCTTTACAGTTGTGACAGTTGCAATTAGTCATGATAACAATTACTCACTGTTGAATCATAGGAATCTTATCCCCATCATGGAGGGATTTCTGTGGCCTTATTTTTTAACTGTTTATTGTGAACTGAGTAAAGGATTACAGATGAGATCATCAGTTTTATATCCAGCACATCCATGCAACAACAGCTTTTCTGCTTTCTCCCTATGGGTCCTATTTCCAGTCCACTCAGCTTTTCATACTTTGTCAACTTGGTCCTTCTGAAAATGTTGCCCTTTTGATTTTGAATGATTGAAAGTCAATGGTGAGCAGACCTTGATAGTACTGTTTCCCCCTCTGTATACCTGTCTACTGCTTTTGGGATACAAGGGTGAGTTCCTTTACAAACCTGAAGGGTGGTTGAGGGCCATAGTTTCATGTTCCTCCAGTCTCTTTCTGACCAGTAAGCCTGATTTTTTTTTTTTTTTTTAATAATTGTGAGTGTTGTTCTACGTTTTCTCCTGCTCTCTCCTGGATCCTCTAGTGTGATCCCTTGCAGCACAGTTGTAATGGTGGCTGAACACCATCTAGTTCTTCTGGTCTCAGAACTGGTGCTCACATATTCCATTAGTTCATTGGACTAATTGATTCCAAGAACCTTAAATTCTTAGCACCTTTCATTCTTCTGCACATGGAGAGACCAGTAGTTGCACCTTAGTGGCCACTCATGAGCTTTTCAAGATCCCAGATGCTACTTACCAAAGTTGGATGTAGAACATTTGTTTTGGGGGACTATGTTATACCAGTTGATCCTGGTGTCCCCTGAGACGGTATCCCTGAGCTCCCAAGCCCAGCCCTTCATGGCTTAAGATGTTTGATGATATCTAAGAAGTTCTCATCATTTTTCCTGCTGTATGCTTTACCACATTCATAGGTAGGAAAGGTAAATACTCATGTACCAACAACTTCTTTCAAACTCTTAGATATCTGTGGGATATATACACATATATATCTTCCTCTTGTACTCATTCATCCTGTGTCTTTGTCCATGTATTTACCCAAAGAACACTTTTCGAGGTTGTATATAGATCACTGTTTTCCTCGGTCCCCTTTAACCCTTGCATACCTCCCTGAGTTTTCGCCTCTCTGCATCCTTGTTCTGCCAGCCTCCCTCTTCTTGTACATTGCCTTCCCATCACCCAAGTTAGCATATGTCTACCCTGTAGCCAGTGACTAACTCCCCTTCCCTCCCACCCTTGATAACCACCAAAGAATTTTTCTTCTAGTGTAGAAGTCTTTTCTTAAGCTTTCCCAGTAATGGCTGTGTGCATTATTTGTCCTTTTGTGATTAACTAATTTTACTCAGCATAACATCCTTGAAGTTCATCATGTTATGAAATGTTTTTCAGATTCTTCATTATTCTTTAAGGTAGCATACTATCCCATTGTGTGTATGTACCGAAGTTTGCTTATCCATTCTTCCACTGATGGGCATTTAGGCCATCTCCATCTTTTTGCTATTGTGACCGGCACTGTGATGAACATACGTTTGCATATATCTACTCGGGTCCTGGCTCTTATTTCTTGTGGAGATATACCAAGCAGAGGGATTGCTGGGTTATATAGTATTTCTATTTCCAACTTTCTGAGGAAGTGCCATACCATTATCCACAGTGATTGGACCATTTTACATCCTCACCAGCAACGTAGGAGGGTCCCAGACTCTCCACATATGCAACAGCATTTGCTGTTTTCTGTGATTTTGAACTTTGCTATTAATGCTGGTTTGAGATGATACCTCACTATTGTTTTGAATGGCATCTCTCCTTGTGTGGCACTGTAGCATAACCACCGGGCTGCTAACCTCAAGGTCGGCGAAGTCTAACCCATAAACCACTCCTTGGAAACACTATACAGCGTCGCTATGATTCAGAACCAACTCAACAGCACTTAACAACAACAACCACGATGGATAATGATCATGAATACTTTTTGATATGTTTGTTGGCTGCCTGAATGTCTTCCTTGGTGAAGTGTCTGTCCTCTTTAGCCCTGTGCCTGTTTTTAAATTGGGTTGTTAATCTTTTACTTGTTGAGGTATGAGTTTTCCATACATTTTTGTGATTGGTCTCTTGTCTGATGTGTTGTTGCAAAAATTTTCCCCCAGTCTGTGTGCTGCCATTTTACTCTTTTGGTGAAATCTTTTGTTGCACTTAAGAGTAATTTTTAGGAGGTACCAGTGATCTATTTTGTTGTCTACTGTTTGTGTGTTTTCAGTAATGTTTGATAGTTTATGTATGCCATGTATTAGAGTTTAAGATTGTTCCTATTTTTGTTTCATTTATGATCTTTATAGTTCTAGGCTTTACATTCTGGTTTTTAATCCATGTTGAGTTTGCTTTTGTATGTGGTGTAACCTATGGGTCTTGTTGCATTCTTCTGCAAATGAATCTCCAGTTTTGCAGGTACCATTTGTTGAAGAGACCATCTCTTCCCCCATTTAATGTGTTTTGGCCCTTTGTCAAAGATCAGCTGACTGTATGTGGATGGATTTCCTTCTGGGTTCTCATTGATCGATGTCTCCTTCATTGTACCAGTACCAGTTTGTTTGACCACTGTGGGGCTGTGGAGTAAATTCTGAGATCAGGAAGCAAGAGACCTCCAACTTTG